CGCCCCCCTACTGCCCAAAACAAGTTCACTGCCCCTCAGCATCCTCCCACCGCCCCCCGGGGGGCGGTACCGCCCCCATTGAGAACCAGTGTTCTACACGGATCTGTCAAGCAGTTTTCTTTGCAGAGGTCAGTGGCTTTCTCTAGCAGTCTTGGTTCTTTTACTCCTCTCCTGCCATCCTATCAGTCCCACAACGCAAACCAAAATGAAAGGAAGTCAGCAGCAGTCAGAGGGAGGGGGCATGTCCACAACAGCCAAAAGTGGCCTAAAGAAGCTGGGCAGATCTCATCCCCAGCTGTGGCCACCATTGAAACAACACACAACATACATATTGAAGGCTTATGTCTGGAAAAGGTGGAAAATGCTACTTCTACATCAGATCAGGAAAAAAAAGTTAGCTAGCCTTTGGTCTGAAGAACTTAACTCTCTTTCTAGAGCTACACTTTAATACTGGGAGTCCTAATTGGAAGTCTATACAGAAATTGGTATACGTTAATTTATATGTTTAATTTTCCATCTTTGTTCTGTTGCTAAGTCGATTGACTTAGATGTTAACAATTACATTGTATTACATGACTGAATACACGCATACATTTTGATTAGTATATGAGAACTAAATTTTGGTTTCCTTGTTTCTTTCCTCTTCTTTTGACATAAAAGTGAAAGAGAGGGATTATTAATGCAAATCTTAGATTGTAAGGAATAATAATTTGATAATGGTTTATATGTTCAAGGCCCTTTCTGTTGTAAACTGCACAAAAGTTTTTTAAATTGTATTAACATTATCTTAGGGTGTTGAATCCACTGGAAATTTGCATTTTGACATTTCCCCAGCTTGAACCGTAACAAAACAAAAATGAACAATTGGTACTGGCTGCTCTTGATCTGAACAACTACTGAGAAAACCTAAGAAATTTTTGTTCCTTAAAAATGGTATTGATGGCTGTATTGCCTGTTTCAGTGGCAGTAGCTCTACAGAAAACCCTTGGGAGCAGAAATCAAAACAGTATTTCAGGGAGTTGAAAGCATTCAAAGAGCTGCTTTGAAGTTAATAGGAGGAAGTATGTCTTGTGCTTCCATATGAAAAGACAGAACTCTATATCTGCGTAGAGAGAATACTCTGTCTCTTTATAGATTGTATCCTATTAAAATTTAAAACTAATTCCAAAAGATTATGGTTCATAAATATTTATTATGAAATAGTGAATTTATATATTCAGCATATGATGCAAGTTCTCTGTTCCAGGTAGTCCGCCTTATTCTCTAGCCCTGCCCTAGTTTCTGAATAATAAATGCCTATATATTCATTTCGAGTTTATAGAACTACAGTAGTGTCATTTATTCAGTGTGAATGACTAATCAAGCGTGCAATTTCAATGAATGTAGATTTTAAAATTTCTTTTTCCTTTTAGCTGTCTCTGTAATGAGGTACAGTGCTTCATCATTTGGATTTGCGGTAAGTATTCTCATAATTGAAATGTCCATTGGCTGTTTCTGATCAAATCCACACATTAGTTTCATCCACAGATGCCACAAATACTATCAATTCATACAGAGAAATTTAATGAAGAGAAGAATGATAAATAAAGATAAACAACAACATCAGAAGATTAATTGCATTTTTAAGTAGCATTTCTTATTTGAATTTAACCGAAGAATTAGAAATGGATCTCAAGCATGTTCCCAGCATTGTCCACTGTTTTCTGTATAGGCTAGCATAACTCAAGAATGTTTCAACAGAGGCGTAGTCCAATTTGTGGAGGTTTGTTTTATTAACGGTACTAAGAAAGAGCTAACTTAATTCTCTATGTATTCTCGCAGGGTATGTCTGAATATCGGGAAGTTAATCACCTTCATGCTGGTTTGCAAGTAGTGGGAGCTCTGTTAGAATCAGAATATGGACTAGGTGGATATTCTAGTCCACCAATATTTATCTAGCATTAAAAAAAATTGTAATACTTAGGACAAATTTCAAATGAACGAAGAAGCACCTCCCCAATTAAGTGATTATTCCCACCACAATGATATCATAAAGCTGTAGAGGCCCAGTGTTGTACAGTGGTTCAAGTCTTGGACTGGACTGGACTGGGAGTGGGAAGACCCAGGTTTTAGTCCACCCTCAGCCACAGGAGCTCAATGGGTGACTTTGTCACAGCCCACTCTATCCCACAGGGTTATTGTGAGGAAAACCTGGAGGAGGGAGTGCTAGGTCTGCCTCCTTGAGGTGGAAGAAAGGTGGGGTAGCAATCCAGTAAAAACAACAATCATTAATTAAAAGAATAAACCCTCTTTTGGGTACTTATGTTCATGTTCATATATTCATATCCAGCTCAGTCATTAAGAACTCTCTAAAAAAAGTTTCTCCCCCAGATCATCATCATACATATCTAATAGGATTGGATTGTAGTTTGAACTAGTGACTGTTGTCATCATGTGTCTAAGAAGACAGCTAATTAAGGCAATATTGTTCATGTGAATCCATCAGAGATAAGAAGTTGGTGCTACAGTTTGTAAATTTAGAAAATTCAGTAACAATTTGCACTCTGGTTTTAACTACTTTACAGTAATGTTCATTACTTTACAGTAAATTTGATCCTTCTCCCCTCATGGAAGAGTTTTATTTTTAAATATGTGTGTTTTGCAGTATAGAAGAAGTTATGCTGTACGATTGATGGGATTTAAAGTTTTATTACTCCCTGAACTGACATAATTGTATTGGGGTTTTTTTTGTTTCTTTTTAAATAAAGTCAACTAATTTTTAATAAATGTTCCTTGCTTTTTATTCCAATGATTGACACTGCATCAGTATATAGCTTTGCAGTACCCTTAGCAGTCTTTCATTGCCGCATCTTTGTTGCCCCAATTAAGTTGCTTATTATCTTTTCCAGTTTGATGCCACTTTGGATGTGTTGTCATCAGTGATAGTTCTGTGGCGTTACAGCAATGCAGCGGCAGTTCATTCAGCACACAGAGAATATATGTGAGTACTTATAGCTATTTTTATCTCTGCTGAAGTTTTCATTAATACTTTATGTCCACTGGGCCAATTATTTCTTTTCTGCCCTCATGATTCCCAGAAACCCCCTGGTGGCACATACTAAAAATCTTTTCACAGCACCACAGGAAAGCACCCTATGTAATACAGCTCCTTTGAACAGCAACTGCTGAAAATCTTGGATGAATCCTTCAGCGGGGGGATGTGTTCACTAGTATCTGTGGCTTGAAATTCACATTGAACAGACTGGTCCTGCTGCATTAAGTTGCACAGTGGGTGATCTCAAAGCAGGCAATCTATCAAAGCATAATTTGTGTAAAAGTGCATCAGTAATTCATTATTTTGATTTTATCTTATTCCACTGAGATAAAATGATCTATCATATTAGATTCAAAGTATAATGTTAATCATCTACTAATGTGGTACTTTTTTCTATGGCCCGTTTTCCTTTAAGAAACCTTTTAACAAGCTGGTATTTGACTTTCAGTATTTCTCCATAAAAATGGGTGAATGTAGTAACTTGTTTTAGGTGTATAATTACTAGGTGTGTAACTATATAGGAAATACATGATTTCTATTCATTAATCCTGTCCAGGTTGCATTTTGTTGACATGCTAATCAGATAATTTGTTTTTTTGGGAGGGAGACAAAGACTCTGCTATCTTACATGCTTTCTATTCATTATGAAGGAGAGTTTTTCGCAACAGACTCTGATTGGAAGGAGATGTAAAACTGTGTAGAGTTGTGCATATTGGTGATGTGTAGAAACACTGCTTGCTTCTGAATATGCATGCTTTTGTCCATACGTGCAGGAAAAATAAACATCTCCATGTTTTATGTAATGAAACAGTACCATAGGAAGTATTACTTATAGACGGAAAGTACCAGGAAGAAAAGATCAGAGGTTAAAATAATTGCTATAACTTTCATGTATTTGTCTAGCAAATCTTGGTATTAAAATTGGCATGTGCCTGTGAGTTCCATGGGCTGTCTTTTGAAGATCCTTGTGACTTCAGTGAAAATGGGGGAAAGAACTGAGCATGTAATATGCCATGGGTTTATTCATCATAATTTCACTAGGTCTAGAACCTAGACCAATGTTTCTCAACCTTAGCGACTTTAAGATGTCTGGACTTCCAGAATTCCCCAGCTAGCATGCTGGCTGGGGAATTTTGGGAGATAAAATCCAGACATCTTAAAGTTGCTAAGGTTGAGAAACATTGGTCTAGGTTCTAGAATATCAGGGTAAGGGCATTGGTCTTAACCTTCCTAGACTATGGTTGAGTAAGTTTGATTGGAAAAATGGCATTACGCAGAAGCCAAAGACAAATAAATAATTATGCAATCAGGGACAAATTAAAGTGATGGTTACTGTATATCTTTAGCTCTCGTGTTGCTCATTTATTTTATAAATAGCAGGCACACAGGGACTGTGCATAGGGAAAAGAGATATAGCCATAATCCTTTTTGCCAGTGTGGACCTATTCCAACATTTAGGACAGAGAAAATACATAGTGCATAACTTTTCTTGTAGTTACTTGAAATGGTTGTATGGATATAATCATATTGTACTGCAGTGTTGCATGCCCAATAGTTAAGCAAATATAAGTTAGAATAAACCTGGATCTCTAGGATAAGCATGAATAATTTTGATCACAGCGTTTTGATATTTTCTTGTATATTTCTCAACCAGCATTGAAATTTGTATTATAGAAAAGGTAGGTGAATGATACTTTCATTTTAAATTTGATGAAAAAAGCATTTAAAACATACCTTTGTTAAATGCTATCATAGGCATTGGTAGTGAACCTTGTAATAATTTTTTTTATAAATTGTTGTGTAGTTATGCATATTTTAAGACCTAAAACCAAAAAAGATTAAAGCTTAAAATTCATGTTATATCGTATAAACTCAGCATTTGTTTGATCCTGTTGGACCTGAGGAAGTGGACGGGATCCTCGGGGCTGTTAGTGTAGCTACCTGTACTTTATATCCTTGTCTCTCCTGGTTGGCTAAAGCCACCAGGGAGGTGACATTGGAGTGGGTACTGGCAGTGGTCAATTCATGCTTGCAGGAGGGAGTGTTCCCGAAACCTTTCAAGGAAGCCCTGGTCCACCTGTTCCTCAAGAAACTGTCACTAGATTCCACCGTTCTGGACAATTTTTGTCCAGTTTCCCACCTTCCCTTTTTAGGAAAGGTTGTGGAAAAGGTGGTCATGCGACAGCTTCACAAGTTCCTGGAGGAAACGGATTATCTGGACCCCTGTCAGTCAGGTTTCAGGCTTGGTTATGGGACAGAAACAGCACTGGTTGAGATGATCTCTGGTGTGAGCAAGATGGTGGTAGTGCGTCCATCCTTGCTCTTCTTGACCTCTCAGCAGCTTTTGATACCATCAACCATTGTATCCTTTTGGGTCGGCTATAGGAGTTGGGGCTGGGAGGCACAGTTCTGTGCTGGTTCAGCTCCTTCCTCCAAGACTGATCTCAGTTGTTGTTGATAGGGAGTGAGAGGTCAGTTGGGGCTGGGAGGCACAGTTCTGTGCTGGTTCAGCTCCTTCCTCCAAGACTGATCTCAGTTGTTGTTGATAGGGAGTGAGAGGTCCAACCCACAGCCCCTACTTTGTGGGGTGCCTCAAGGTTCAGTGCTCTCACTGGTCCTATTTAACATCTACATAAAACGGTTGGGTGAGATCATCTGGTACCATGGGATGAGGTATCATCAGTATGCTGATGGTACTCAACTATATATCTCCATCCTGGGTGATTTGAGTGATGCTGTGACCACCCTTTCGCAGTGCCTGGAGGCTGTGGGGGTCTGGATGGGGGACAAAAGTCTTCAACTGAACCCTGGTAAGACGGAGTGGCTATGGGTACAGGGAGCCTCAAGATCTAGGAGCTTATCATTCTTGGTTCTTGATGGGGTTGCACTACCCCAGAAAGACCCGGTGCATAATCTGGGGGTCCTCCTAGACTCATGACTCCTGTTCAAAGAGCAGTCATGGCTAGGAGGACCTTTGTGCAACTTGGTGTTGTGCGTCAGTTATGCCCCTTCCTGGATTGGGAGGCCCTCTGAGCGGTCACTCATTCCCTGGTCACTTCCTGGTTGGATTACTGCAATGTGCTTTACATTGGAGTATTCTATCCTTGAAGAGTATCTGGAAGCTATAGCTAGTGCAAAATGCAGCTGTGTAGATAGTTTTGAATGCTCCTCAGGTGGGCACATATAACACCTCTGTTACACAAGCTGCATTGGTTCCTGGTTTGCTTCCGAGTCCTATTCAAGGTGTTGGTTATTACCTTAAAAGCCCTTCATGGCACAGGACCAGGTCATCTGAGGAGGCATCTCGCCCCCATTATATCAGCCTGCCCCACTTGTTCTGGCAGAAGGGGCATGTTGTGGACCTCACCAGTCAAGGAATTTCAGCTGGCGGGGTTTAGGAAGAGGGCCTTTTCTGCTGTGGCCCCTGCCCTGTGGAACAACTTACCACCTGAGATGTGGTGCGCCCCCACTCTCATGGCCTTCTAGAAGAGGATAAAATCTTGGCTATGCCAGATGGCCTGGGGGCCTGATCGGGGCTTGTATTGTTGGGATTGGCTGGTGGGATATTTGATTCTGCCCCCCCATCATCTTGAATTGTATAAAGTCTTTTTATATAGTATTATTTAATTTAATATGGATATTTA